TTTAGTGGTTTAGGGGTTTTAGGGTTTAGGGGTTTAGGGGTTTAGTGGTTTAGGGGTTGAGGGGTTTAGTGGTTTAGGGGTTGAGGGGTTGAGGGGTTGGGTGTTTAGGGGTTTAGGTGTTTCGTGGCTTATAGGGGTGAGGGGGTTGTGGTTTAGGGTTTTTAGGGGTCTAGGGCTTGAGGGGTTTAGGGTCTGAGGTTGGGTTTAGGGTTTCAGGGTTCAGCGTTTATAATAGCCCCCATATACAATCCCTTGTAGTCGTCGAGAGACAGAGGCTGCGGCGGAGGCTGGACATGCAGCGGGCGATTTTGGCACGGGAGACGCACAAGAATAGTGTGGAAGTGTGGTACCGAAACAGGGTCGATGAGGACCGAGATGGACCTGCCATACCCGGAGATTCCTGTCCGGCCGCTCCCGCCAAAAACGATGTCTATGTGCCTCATGCTGCCTGCGAAGAAAGTATGAGCTTCGGGCACCAGCTCGCTAGGGGCGAGTATGTGTGGACTCTTCATCAGTTTTCCTGGCTGCCAACAGTGCTTACGCAGCGTGAGCTAGGGTACTTGGAGTCCTCACACTTCCAAGTGGGCAAGTTCACCTTTGAGTTTGTTTACAATCCTCATCATGGTGCTCTCACGCCGTCCATGACAACAGGTCAGTGCGGCTCCCTTGCCATAGCACCCTACGAGTCCTCCGAGATAGCCTTGCGGTACGCCATCTTCATCAAGAAGCGCGGAGGCGACTTCGTGCAATGGGGAAAGACGTGTTTCGAAGTCCATGACGGTTCCGAGAAGGCCTATGGATGTAGGGTTTAAGGATGTAGGGTTTTGGGTTTAGGGTTTAGGGTTGTAAGGTTTAGGTGCAGGGTTTAGGGTTTAGGGTTTAGGGTTTAGGGGTTCCGAGAAGGCCTATGGCCCCGACGTGCACCATGAAGGGAAGGCACCGGCTACAGTGGGCATCTTCGGCCTAACGCACGAAGAGCTCCTGGAATCAGAATGGGTTGAGAACGACACGCTGCTGGGCTCTTCTTCAGGAACTTATTTAAAGTTACCATATAGCCAGGACCTATAGTAAATAACGTGGTTTCCTTATTATGGTAAGGAACGTAAACTCAGCTCTCTAACCTTATCATGGTAACTTAAACGAAGTTCCTCAACCTTGGTATGGTAACTCAAACTTAAACCAAGTTTTTAAACCTGATTATGGTAACCCAAACCAAGGTTCTTTTCCAGAAACCCCAAAACCTAAACCCCTAAACCCCTAAACCCCCAAACCCCCAAACCCTAAACCCTAACCCGTAAATCCAAAACCCCTAAACCCCTAAAGCCCTAAAGCCCTAAACCCTAAACCCTTACCCGTAAATCCTAAACTCCTAAACCCCTAAACCCCCAAACCCCCAAGCCCTAAACCCTAACCCGGAAATCCTAAACCCCTAAACCCCTAAAGCCCTGAAGCCCCAACCCCTAAAGAACCCCAGGTTGACGGTGAAGTTTGTCTTGGAAGTGCGTCCAGACGAGCACTTCATGTCCCAGCTGCTCCGTCCCACCGCGGAGGTTCCGGGTCCCACATTGAATCGCGACATGCAGCCTTGGTGGCACTTTTTGGGGTTTAGGGGTTTAGGAGTTTAGGGTTTAGGGTTTAGGGTCTTAGGGCTTTAGGGTGTAGGGTTTGGGGTCGAAATTTCCCGTCGTGGGGTCCTATAGAGGTGCCTATTCATAGATATTTTGGAGGGGCCCCCGCAGCTACAAAGCAGGCAAGCCTTGTTCGAGGACGGCATCTGCAGCGACGTGCAGTTCAAGGCGCCGGATAAACCCCCGAAGGCTTAGAGCCCCGAAGCCTAAAACTGGATTCTTGTTAGGGGGTTTTATGTAAGGTACCAAAAAATAGAAACCATATTATGATTTACAAAAGATCCCCCTGATGGTAACTTAAAGCAAAAAACCCTAAACAAGATCCCAGCAAAAGCCCTAACGCTAAGACCTCTTGGAGACTTGGCGGATTGGCCAAGAGGCGCCTTAAACGCAAAAAAAAGGCCCTCCAGCCTGCAGGCCATAAGGCCCGAAAGCGCCCCAACACCTGAAGCCCCAACCCCCGATGCTCCGAAGCCCAAAGCCTCTCGATTCCAAAACCCCCAAAAGTCCTAAAATTCTAAGATCCTAAAAGTTTAGGGTTTAGGGTTTAGCGTGTAGGGGTTTAGATTTTAGGGTTTAGGTTCAGGGGTTTAGGGTTTAGGGGTTTAGGGCCCGAAAAGGTGGAGGAGGAGATGATCCCGGCACACTCACATGTCCTCTTCGCCAGATCGGAAGTTTTCAGGAAGGAGCTGACCGGCGGCATGCAGGAATCGGCATCGAAACCAAGCCGTTGTTGAACATATTTTGCGAGTTTAAGTACAGTCTTTTTGCACCGAGATAGCCAATGGGTGAACTTTAACCTTCTTGGTTTTATATATCTGGGCTATCTTAGAAAGTCTGAACTTTTCCGGGTCCGGTTTTTGAAGGAGACAGTACAACAAGAAGGAGCACCAACCACAAGAGTTACAGTTTTCAGGCCCTCCAAGCGCAGCCCAGGAAAGTGGTCTCGATTGAGGATTGCGATGTGGCTACCTTCAAGGCCCCGAAATCCCTAAACCCGCAACCCACCCCACCTGCAGCCTCAACCCTAAACCCTAAACCCCTAACCCTGAACCCTAAACCCTAAACCCCTAAACCCTTACAAACCCCTGAAGCCTAAATTCTGAACTCCCTAAGCCCTAATCCTAAACTCTGAACCCCTAGGCCCGAGCTATAATACGGTATGATATAGTACAATGATAGACTATAGTCGATTACAATATGTTAGAGTAGCATGTAACGTAGGAAAATCAGAAAACAGAGTGCAGCAGAATATACAAAACGGATAATAGCCTATAAATACAGCATAATACAAGATAGCAGAATATGATACACTCTAATTGACTCTAACCTACTAGAAAGTTATGATCCCTCATAAAATAAGCCCTTTCAGGCCTTCCTGCGGTTCCTTTACACCGACTGCCTCCCCACCGTTGCGGAGCTGTCTGGCGGAAATGGAGAGGCGAAAGCAGCCGAGCCAGACCTATCCCGGGTGCAGGCGTTTTGGTTGGTGGGCTCTGGGGATTCCCAGAGTTTTAGGGTTTAGGGTTCAGGGTTCAGGGTTTAGGCTTCGGGGTTCAGGGTTTCGGGTTCAGGCCGGAGGGTTTAGGGTCTAGGATTCAGGGTTTAGGGTTCAGGATTTAGGGTTTAGGGTTTAGGGTTCAGGATTCAGGGTTTAGGCTTCAGGGTTCAGGGTTTCGGGTTCAGGGCGGAGGGTTTCGGATAAGGAAGAAGTAGAAGGACTACCATTAATAAAGATGTTTTAGGGATTACTTCAACATCCAATCTCCCGGTCCCCCTCAAGCACCAGTCAGGCGTTGCTGGCTGTCAGTCACAAGTATCAGACTACGAGGCTTCAGCTGTGGTGTGACTGGGCTCTGGAGTGCGGCGCATTTTTGTGTATTACATTCATGTAAGATATGTCCATCTCTATTTCTGTCTATCCTTATATATATATATAATACAATATATAATATATATATATAATATATATATATATATATCTACCTATCATCTATCTATGTATTGATGATGGTCTCCGACACAGGAACCTTGGTCCGATGGTTACACCCCTGTACTGGGCCCTCAGCGAAAGCCTAGAGTCTGGAAGCCCAGGTGAGAATCAGCTTTGTCAGGGGCTGAAGATTGCGGAGGTCTGCAGCATCCTGGAGCAAGCGAATCTGCTCGACGCGCAGCAGCTTGTAAAGGCTTGCCTCTCCTTCATCAAGGACCATCTGACCGAGGTCGGCATTCCGGGGCTGTCTCTGTTGTTTCTGGTCCATGGTCTTGTTTGAACATGCACAAGCAGCACTAGCATCAATCCTTCTTTCGGTCCCCAGCACAGGGTTTAGGGCTTTGGGTTTGGGGTGAAGTGCAGGTCTTTAAGCTCCCGGACTACATTGAGCTGGCGAAGAGGTGGGCGGGTTCTGGATCAAAGCTCTTTGTTGTTGCTGCTGCTGCTGCTGTTGAGGCTTCTTGCAACAAGGAAGTTTTCCTTGAAGCCCTAAAGTAGGAGTCCCAGTCCGAAGTGTCAACCCTAACAGGCATCAGGGGTTCCCCAAGCCCTAAACACTAAAACTTGACAGCAACGGATTCTAGAACCAGTCATTGAGTTCTTACAGATCTCCCGTAAAACCTTATAAGCTCCTGATGGAGCCTGGTGAAAGCCTTACCGGCCCCTTCGAATACCTTGCTATTCCCGTAGAAAACCGTTGCAGGACTTGTAATCCCTGAACCTTAGATCCTGCAAGACCCTTCAGCGCTCAAATCCCTAAAGACCCTAGTCAGTCGAGACGCTGAATTCCTCAGAAACGAAAGGAGCCCTAAGCCCAAACCCAAAAGCTCTAAACAGCCTAAACACAAGAAAACCAGGAAGATTCCAACTACCCGAAGCCAATCGAAACCCCCAAAGTCCTCAACTCAACACCCGACGCTTGCGGAGCCCTGAAAGGTGGCCGGACGTCGGGATGAAGATTAGCCTCGTCTCTGCAGGAGTGCCCGAAGCCAAGGCGGACGAAGTGGTCCTTGGGTCTTCTAAAGTGGGGTTCTTTTTGGTTTTGGGGTTTAGGGTTTAGGGGCCAAGTACTACGCTGTCTCTTGTCATGCGTCTTCGGGTTCGCTTCTCCTTACTAGCACTATCTTAAGTACGCTTTCTGTTGCTCCCAGGTTGGTTTTGGACTCTGTTCTCGCAGCCCTAAACTCTAAACCCAAAAAAAAACCTAAAACCCTA